GCTCGGAAATCTCTTCCACCCAGATGGGGTCATGTGTAGTCGGTTTCCCTCAAAGTGGAATGTGAATAGGGAAAAATGAAGAAAGCAGACAATAAACACTAGGATGGGGAACAGAGAGAGGATGAAGTTACATGGGCAAAGGAAAGAAAGAGAAAATGTGTAAATCATCTTTTGGACAGAAAGGAAGACCATTCCTAATAACTGATAATAATTGATGACTGTTCTGTCCAATACATTGGCTGGTGTCAGAGTCCAGCTCTAATGCTTTAACAGTTCCTCGGTTGCACCAACCATGGTTGAAGCACTTATCGGTCACATGTCACTAGTTCTATGCTGATATAGAACATTTCCATCATCACCAAAAATTCTATTGGATAGCACTGGCCTAGGAGAAGTAAGATATAAAATGAGAAGAAGTACATAGACTGAGAGAGTCCTTGAATGCCAGAATATTATTTTATTTTATTTAAAAAGTTTAAAACTTGAAAACAGCAGTGTCAATATAAAAATAATCAAAAAGGTTAATCGAATGGTAAAGAGAAGAGAGGATACATAAGAGACAAGGCTGGAGAGGGAGAACAGTTTTTGCAGCAACTTAGAATTGAATAACTGGGACCTAGATCAGAATGTGATGGTAAGAATAAAAACAAATGAATACAGTTGATTTTCATTATTTGACAATTCTGTGTATGCCAATTTACCTACTCACTAAAATTATTTGTAACTCCCCAAGTCAACACTCATTATACTTTCATGGTCATTGGGAGATGTGTACAGAATAGAGAAAAATAAGTCAACCAATGGCTGTGCACATTCCCAGCTGAGATTGAACTCTGCTTTCTTGTTTCAGCTCATTTGTAAATAAGTGTCCTTTCTGTCGTCTATGGAATGGAATGTTTCCTGCATTTTTGTTCTTTTTGTTGGTGATTCACTGTTTAAAATGTCCCCCTTGTGGAGTTCTAAAGTGCTGCCTAGTGTTCCTAAGTGAGAGAAAGCAGTAATGTACCTTACAGAGAAAATACTTGTGTTAGATAAGCCTGGCTAAGGTATAAATTACACAGGTGATTTTCAAACTTTTTCATCTCAGGGCACACATAAACTAATTACTAAAATTCTGCTGCCCACGAAAAAACATTTTATTTTTGCCCATCTGACCAAAAAATAGAAATAATTTTCATTCATTCTCACTAGATGGCTATTGTTGTGTTGATTATTGTCACTTTTCTACTTGACAATCTAAGGAAAGAGAGGTCAGTGCCCTGACTAAGTCAGGTATAGCTTGTTTTAAAAATACTTATGGCTATAGCATACTGGTTGAAAATCTCTGAGTTACAGTATTGTTGGTATGAGTTCAATGTTAATTAATCAATATTTATTTTAAAAATTATCTTTAAAAAGAAACCACTTATAACTAGATTTTTGAGCATGCCTATTCAGACTATTTTCTTTAAATCTACTATTATTGAAAATCCAAGAAATACTTGTAATAGTTTACTTTTTAAGCTTTAAAACAAACAAACAAAAACACTTGGCCTGGCAGGAAGTTCTAACTTCTGACTCTGAATCATTCTGTCTGGATTAACTTTTTCTCCATTTCTCTCCATAACAGTTATCAAATAGTAAGTGTGAGAAGTGATACACTGAACCCACTGAGTTAACAACTATTTATGTATATGGGATTTTAGTTCCAAAAAGCCTTGAAAAATTTGTTAGAGAATCCTTATTAAAAATATTAGAAACTGAAATACCAAATATTTTTTCAAAATATGGTTGGGAAGGTGGTAAATATATTTAAGGGGAAATCAGTTTGTAAGAGAAAAAAATCATGAATGTAATCCTCCTTCAGGTGACTGATCAGTAATATTAAATAAATAAAAGATCCTCATTACTATAAACCCTCCAAAAAGTGTGTAAAGTGGTTGCCTTTTAGTGTATGTAGCCATTGAATCCCTTCAATAAAATTGTAGTTCTAAACACCTAGAGCAAAAAATTTCCATTTTTTTTATATAGACCATGAGTAAAGATATAAAGCAAATCACTGGTAGTCTGCCTTTAAAGCCCTCACTGCTTTTCATTAAACATGAAAGTTTATGTTTGCATTGTGTTGTTCATTTTAGTATCAATAGAAAATGTGCTCTTCTGCAATGTAAATAATTCCTGGTGAATGAAGAAAACAAATGAACAGGGTATAGATGGAGCAAAGATTTCAGATCTCTGGTGTCTCATCAAATTGCACTCATTCTTCAAGGTCCGTCTTGATTGGACCATCTCCATGTCACTCACAGCTCACTGGGATCCTCTAGTAAATTGTGAAGATGTTTGTATTTATAAGAGCTGCCTCTTGGAACTTTGGTGAAGACCTATATTAAGAAAATACCCTAACATTCTGAGCCTGACTTCCATTCCATCCAAGAGTAGACTTTCCAGTTGAAGGTTGCTCTTTTTCCCCAGAAAACAAAATATGGATTTTAGTTACTGGGAAGGCTTATATTAATTAGTGTAGCAAAACGGTAAAGCAAACTGAGATGATGCATGGCAGTGTTAGTCTTAAAACTGAGACTTGTTCCTATGTATCAGGCAGGAAGTACTCATGATTCAAATTTGGGTCTCAACAAAGATACAAGTTACCATATATCATGGGACTTTGAAGTCACGTTCAAAATGCATGGTAGTCACAAATTTAATTCCCCAAAGGCTAAGGGTCTTCTAAATAAGTATACTATACTTAAAAAGAAATTACCTGTCCCTTATTCCTGAATAATATTTTAATTATATATGCCACATTTTCAAGTGTACAGGACCTGACACTTTAAGATATAAACTGTATTGACCCATTACACAGCTATTAGCACTTACAATGAAGATAAGCTGGTCTTCTTCACCTTCAATAGCAATTCTCAGAAAACTGCAATTCATATGTCCTTACCTTTTGACATCACTGTTAATTTTGACACAGCTTTGTCTATGCTCTGAGTAAAGATAAAGTGTTTTTTTAATGTGACTTTATTTTCCTCAGCATCCTATTTTTTCTTTTTGTGGATACCATTCCTTTAATGTTGAATTAGAAGTTTCAGCTCTAATAATCATTGCTGCTCTCTCCTGTAAGAATTACACTGCAAACAAAGGAACTTGTGCAAAACCAGAATGTTTAAACTGGCAGTGGAAATATTTATAACTGAAATCATCCAGAATAATAAACAGTTATCACCCTACTGCTACACGATGATAGCTCAGATGAGTGACAGAAAAATAGGAAAATTAGATGTTTGCTTTCATGGAAAGGAGCATCTGCCTTTTTTACCATATGAAAGAGAGACTATAAAAGGGAGCCAACTACTGCTTTCATTTTATTATTTTTAGAAGCAATGAGCACATATCTGATAAGCTCTCCAAAGTGCAGGAGAAAATATGACATCAATGTAATTAATCCTTTATTGAGGCTATATCGATACAGACTACAGAGCCTAAGTGATGGACTTTACAGCACAGCTACCCTTTGATTAATGCGACAAAATAATCTGTAGAAGTTGATAGATACTGTAAAGAAACGTGTATGAATCCAAAGCTCATAGCATGATAATAGTTAAATTCCTTATTTTGACCATCTTATAAACCAGGAACATAAATGTCATGTCTTTACAATACAGTGGTATTTCATTGCTAGGAAAATTTGCCATAAAATTGACTTAGGTAAGGTCTTATCACCCCTTGTGTATTTTCCTCAGACCATGACAATGTTCTTGAAAATGAGAGTTAGCTTGGCAATTTTTAAAAGAAGAAATCAGAGAAGAAGTATGGGATCTTGAGCTATTTTTTCCCCTCAGACTGGACCACCCTCTTGACTTCTGTTGCTGGCTGAAGGCATCAACAAGATCACATATTTACTTAAGATGGACACTTGCTCTCCACAGCTGAGGCAGGATAAGGGGGTTTCAAGATGAACCAAACCCAGTGAACAAATGCCAGAGAGCCTCTAGAAAGAAGTGGAGGTGGTCTTCAGGGGAGAATGACACTGGGACAAATGCCTACTCCCTTCCTGAACTGTTTCAGTGAACACACACTAAAGATTGACTCAGTGCTAAGAAATATCCAGAACAGAGTAAGGTCTAAGTAATTGACCTTTAGCTACTACAATATAGTTGGGAGAATAACAGGGATTTTGAGTCAGGTAGCTGCTCAATTGTACCTTGAATAATTACAGAGAGAAGAAAGAAAAAAAATACACATTCACAGTTTACTATTTTACTTCTCTTAGACTGAGAGTACTGCTCTATCCATTCCAGTCTTTATCTTTGGATTTAAGAAAGATGTGTAAACTTCAGACAACTGCATTATACTAGTAATGCCAGTTAGCCAACAAGCCTGCTCTCATTCACAAGCGTGGCTCCTTTGCAACCTTATTTTTGCTTCAGAATATTTTCCTAATATATTCAGTTCAAGAATATATTAGTCTTCCTAGTCTTCCTATCTCCCCTTCTACTCAACACTTGGTCATCCCCTCAGCCTCCTTGAGATACCTGTCCTTGGTTCAGCAGCCAGTTTCACTCAGGTCCCTGAGGACAGAACTTGGACTACTAGACCATCAGACCAAGGTTTACGTGAGTTTCTTACCTGAACCAAGTACAAAAGAAACAATAAGCCTTAAATGGAAAGTTATAAAAGGAGAGGCAATCATCCTTAAGCATCATTTCATTTAGACATTCCAGAAAGCAAAAATAACAACACAATCACCTCTGCAGGAAAAAGAAAGAACTCAATTCTTTAAAGTTTTATGACAAAGTTTGCAAATTCACACTACTGTTCAAAGATGTGCAAATATAAAATATATATAGTTAAAATAAAAAATATATATTAAACATATTTAAATATATAATGTTCTAGTTTATATACAGTTAAATATATATTTTAAATTTATGTATATATATATGCAGTAGTTTTCTTGTTTCTTATTAATTGATCTAACCCTGCTTTTAAAAGCTCAATCACAAGTAATTTAAAGGGTGCTCGCTCCAGCAGCATATATACTAAAATTGGAACGATACAAAGAAGATGATCATGGTTTCTGTGAAAGGATGACACACAACTTCATGAAGCATTACATATTTTTGTGGAGGAGAGTATAAAAATGGAGGCTTTGGGGAGAGAACTGAAAGGGTAGCCAGCAGTTTCCCGATGCTAAGTCCTCCCTTATACAGCTGCAGTCATCTTCCTCAGGCAAAGCACTCCCCTGAGTGACAAAGGCCATAAAAAGAGACCCAGAAATATATTTCATAATACTCAAAGGAAGAATCCACCACGAAGACATAAACATTGTAAATCTATATGTACCCAACATAGGAGCACCCAAATATATAAGGAAAATCTCGGACAACTTCAAGAAAGAAATAGACAGCAACACACTGATAGCAGGGAATATTAACACCCCACTGTCAACAATGGAGTAATCTTCCAGAGAAAACATTAACAAGGATACTGTGGAACTGAACCACACATTAGATAAAATTGACATAACTAACATATATAGAACCTTTCATCCAAAAGAAGCAAAATACACATTCTTTTCAAATGCACATGGGACATTTTCAAAGATAGACCACATGACAGGACATAAAATAAGCCTCAACAAATTCAAGAAAATTGAAATCATAACAAGCATTTTCTCAGACCACAAGGGTTTGAAACTAGAAACTAACCTCAAGGAAAAACCTCAAAAACATTCAAACTCATGGAGATGGAATAGTATGCTATTAAACAATGAATGGGTCAATAACTATATCAAAGAAGAAATCAAAAAGATTCTGGGAACAAATGAAAATGAACACACAACAGTCCAAAACATGTGGGACACAGCAAAGGCAGCCCTGAGATGAAAGTTCGTAGCAATACAGGCCTACCTAAAAAAGTTAGAAACATTTCAAATAAATGACCTAACCCAACAGTTTCAAGAAATGGAGAGACAAAAAAACAAACACAGCCCAGAGAGAGGAGAAGAAAGGAAATAACCAAGATCATAGCAGAACTGAATGACCTAGAGACTAAAAGAACATTTCAAAGGATAAACAAATCCAGGAGATGGTTCTACGAAAAGATAAACAAAATTAAACAAGCCATTAAGCAGACTCATCAAGAAAAAAAGGAGAGGACCCAAATAATAATATCAGAAATGAAAGAGGAAAAATGACAACAGGTACCACAGAAATACAAAGGATTCTAAGAACTTACTATGAACAATTACATGCCAAGAAACTTGAAAACCTCAATGAAATGGACAAATTTCTAGAAAAATGTAACCTTCCAACACAAAAGAAGAAGAAGCTGAAAGCCTGAACAGACCGATAACAACTGGTGAAATTGAAGCAGTAACCAAAAAACTCCTGGCAGAAAAAAGCCTTGGACCGGATGGTTTCAGAGGAGACTTTTACTAAACATTTAAGGAAGAGCTTACCCCTGTCCTTCTCAGACTATTCCAAAAAAGCCCAAGAAGAGGGAAAAGTCCCGAACTCTTTCTATGGGGCCAGCATCATCCTAAATCCAAAGCCAGATAAAGACACAACAAAGAAAGGAAAATACAGGGCAATAATGCTGATGAACATAGACGCTAAAATCCTCAAAAAAATATTGGAAAACCACATCAGGGAATACATTAAAAAGATTATCCACCATGATCAAGTGGGATTCATCCCAGGGGTGCAGGGACAGTTCAATATTCACAAATCAATAAACATAATACCTCACATAAACAAAAGGAAAGACAAAAACATGTGATCATATCAATAGATGCAGCAAAAGCATTTGATAAAGTACAGCATCCATTTATGATAAAAACACTCAGCAAAGTGGGAATAAAGGGGCATATCTTAGCATAATAAAGGCCATATATGAAAAATCTATAGCCAATGTCATACTCAACAGGCAAAAACTAAAAGGTTTCTCACTAAGATCGGGAACAAGACAAAGATGTCCACTTTCACCACTTCTATTCAACATAGTATTGGAAGTCCTAGCCACAGTGATGAGACAAAAATAAATAAAAGGCATCGAAATTGGAAAGGAAGAAGTAAAACTATCATTGTTTGCAGATGACATGATAGTGTACATAGAAAACCTCATAGACTCCACCAAAAAACTACTCAACCTAATAAGTGGATTTGGCAAAACAACGGGATACAAAGTCAATGTTCAAAAATCAAAGTCATTTTTGTACTCCAACAATGAAATATCAGAATCAGAAATCAGGAAAAAAATCTCATTTGCTATACCATCAAGAAAAATAAAGTACCTAGAAATAAACTTAACCACAGAGGTAAAAGACCTATACACAGAAAACTATACAACACTGAAGAAATAAATTAAGAAAGACACAAATAAATGGGAGCATATACCGTGTTCACAAATTGGAAGAATTAACATCATCAAAATGTCCATACTATCCGAAGCAACTTATAGATTTATCAATCCCAATTAAAATACCAATGGCACACTTCACAGATATAGAAAAAACATTTCAAAAATTTGTATGGAACCATAACAATGCTGAATAGCCTCAGCAACTTTGAGAAAGAAGAACAAACTAGGAGCTATCATAATACCTGACATCAAACTATATTGCAAGGCCACTGTAATCAAAGCAGTGTTGTACTGGCATAAGGACACATAGATCAATGGAACAGAATAGAGAGCCCAGAAATAAACCCATGTTGCTATGATCAACTAACATTTAACAAAGGGGGCAGAAGCATAAAATGAAGTAAAAATAGCCTCTTCAACAAATGGTGTTGGGAGAGCTAGGCAGCTACACGCAAAAAAAATTGAAATTGGACCACCAACTCACACCATACACAAATATAAACTCAAGATGAATAAAAGACTTAAATATAAGTCACGACACTATAAAAGTCCTAGAGGAGAACATAGGCAGGAAACTCTCAGATATTCCATTCAGCAATATTTTCACCAATATGCCCCTAGTGCAAAGGACATAAAGGAAAGAATAAACAAATGGTACCTCATCAAAATAAGAAGCTTCTTCATGGCTAAAAAAATAATCAGCAACATGAAAAGGGAATCAACTAGATGGGAAAATATATTTACCAATGATACCTCGGAGAGGGGTTTGATCTCCAAAATACACAAAGAACTCACACAACTTCACTCCAGGAAGACACACAGTGAAATTAATAAAGAGGCAAAGGCCCTTGAAGACACTTCTCCAAGGAAGAGATACAGAGAGCCCAGAGACATACGAAAGTATGCTCAGGATCACTAGCCATCAGAAAAAAGCAAATTAAAACCACAAGGAGATACCACTTCCTACTCGTCAGAATGGCCATTGTAAACAAATCAGCAAACAAGTGCTGGCAAAGTTGTTGAGAAAAGGGATCCCTAGTACACTGCTGCTGGGAACGCAGACCGGAACAGCCGCTGTGGAAAACAGTTTGGAATTTCCTCAAAAAGCTAAAAATGGAACTGCCTTTTGACCCAGTGATTCCACTGCTGGGATTATACCCTAGGAATTCCAAAACAACAACTCAAAAGAACCTATGCACCCCAATGTTCATAGCAGCACAATTCACAATATCCAAGTGCTAGAAGCAGCCTAAGTGCCCATCAGTAAATGAATGGATCAAAAAACTATAGTATATTTACACAATGGAATACTACGCAGCAGAAAGAAAGAAAAAGCTACTACCGTTCTTGACAGCATGGAATGAATTGGACAGCATTATGCTAAGTGAAATAAGCCAGGGGGCCAAAGACAAATACCATATGATCTCACCTATAAGTGGAACCTAACCAACATAACAAACAAGCAAAGAAAATATAACCAGCAACATTGAAAGAAAAAAAGAAAGCAACAGAAATGGGAGGGAAGGAAGGAGGGGGATATAGTGGGGAAAGGAAAGGCAAGGGTCGAATCAAGGAACATATATGAAGGACACATGGATCTAGCCAAGGTGGGGAGGGAGGTGCAGTGGGAAGGGTAGGGGAAAGTGGTGGCAGGTAATTGGAGAGAAATTAATTTGAACAATAAAAAAAAGAAAATAATTTTTTAAAGTAATTTAATGGGTGAAGTTTGCCACAGCCAATTAGGAGGATATTCCTCCATACACTCAGCTTCATTGTGGAAGCTTTAGATGGGGTGCTTTTCAGCAGAACTTACTGTAGTGATGGAAATGTTCTAGAGCTGCATCATCCAGCACAGTGACCGTTAGCCTCATGTGGCTATTGAGCACCTGAAGTGTGGCTAGTGAGACTAAGGAACTGAAATATTTTTAAATTAAATCTAAATTTATTTGGTCATGTGTGACTGTTGGCTGCTAAATTTAACAGCACAGCTATAGAACATAAATGTTCCTGTGGGTATATGGCTAACACAATGTCATGAAGGTGAAGAGGGGCAAATCCTTCTCCCCAGGCATCCAAAACCCTTGGCTGGGCTGGAAGCAGGAAGCCAGAGCTTGCCATCTCTTCTTTTGCATATCCTCTTCCATCACTGAGCATTCAGTGTAGCTGGCTCTTGGCATGTTAAAGGAGAAGGTAAGAATATTTAGCTCAGAGTTTACTTTTTTGATAAACCCTGGCTTTCATGTCCATTGTCTTGACGAGGACTCAAAAATCCTATACAGAATACTGGCTCTTTTTTTTCTTCTTTTTCTCCTTATTATTGCTGTTGACATTGTCATTGTCTCCTCCTCCTCATTTTATAGCCATGATACTACTACTTCCCTCCATCCAAGCAAATGGCTGTGATGGTCTAACATAGGGATAATGCTACTTACAGAAAAATGCAGCAGAAGAAGCACAGTATGAATTTTCAAAATATATCTTCTATCACAATAGCATTTATTTTATAGTCATTTCAATATTTCAGTTCAGTGAAAGACCTACAATTACCAAGAGCATAAGGCAGCTTGTGTTATGACTTAACTATAGGTTGACCAAGAAGTTCCTTAGCAATTGTTTGTTTTTAAAAATCAAAACAAAGAACCATCAGTGAAATTCAGCTACTTAGCATTATATTCTTCCAGACCATAGAAACTCAAGGTAAGTCTTTTGGAATAGCAGGAAGTACAGATTCTTACTCCTTTAAGTTCCTCATAGCTAATG